TCAATATCATGTTATCTTCCATTGAGGATCCGCCAGCCCGTTTGCCCACATATGAAAGAGCACTGCCCACATTTCTACAGCACCCTGTGACGTCGAAGGAGAAGAGCCACCTACTGCCACATTCGATTGACAAATTTGTTGGGCAAGAGGTGTCATGGCCCTGATTGGTAGGTGAATTTGGATAAACTCCAGAAGGATGGATATTTGGCAAGCCCCAGTATTCAGGTCCACCACTAAAGTGGAGTCCTATTCCAACATTATCCTACATAATTCTTGCTAGAATTGATGTACTACTTATTTTGTAATCCACTCCATTTAACCGTAATTAAGAATACAGGCGTACTTTTGCGTAGGGTGCTTTATTGTAGCATTATGACATGCATCACTCATTGTTGCCAGGGACAACAGACTGCACTTACTGAAGTCATTCAAATACAAATGGTTTGAGAAAGCAGGTCGACTGATTGCATCAGCACATCGCCTAGCAAATGGCATTTTGGTAGTGGATTGGAGGTGGGAGGCACGACAGTCTGTGACCACTACTGAATTGTTAGGAGTTGTCAGAAGTTTTGAAAACCCAGTTAATCCGTCAAATTCGTGCGCATTGTAGGCTTAAGAAGCAGGGTGAAGCAGAGTAAAGCACAGTAAGAGACTCCTTCAGTTATCATGATCAAAATGATTAAGGAGTGCGCGTATCAACCCAACCTTCCAATAACCAAAAATTGTTGTTAGTGAAGGGCATTTCTTCACTTGATACATGGCATTCTTCTTCCTGAATTTATTTCAATAGGCTAATTCATGCATATCCATTAAAAGGTTTCTTTTTTACCTGGGCCCAAAATCGGCTTTAAATTAAGAAGTTAGTTGCCTGTCAAGGAAATCCTGTATGTTCCTTGCCGATTAAGATCGGGTGACAGAGACAAGCACGTGCACTCCATTATACTGTAGCGTCATGAGCCACAAATATGCGTCATGCATAGTTCTATTGCAATTCATCTACTAATTGAAGCTATAAATTGTGGTTATCATGTACCTCCACTTCCACTCACCTTGTTTTACCTTATTTGATATATAAAGGAAGGCTAGCGTATTCGTGCCAAAGACTGCTGTGAGCGCGGATCCTCCAAGGAGCCTTGTTTTCTTTAAAAGGATTTGCATGAAAAAAAAACCGGGTTGCGTAAAATTTGTTAGTGCAGGAAATTTCCTTACTTGACTTGCACTGTCTTCGACGACTAACTACCAATACGAACTGGGGAAGAACTGAAGCAGCCTAAAATTTAGCCAAGAAATCGCAAGTTGTACCAGGTCAGTTACAACACATACGAAAGGCATGATCAACCCATTTTTTTGTCTTGTCTCCATAAACAGACGGAAGAAGTAGTCTTCAAGTGTAGACATTTCATTTGAGTGAGTCAGCATGCTTCAAAATAGCAAAGTAATGAACAGTTCGCTTGTCTTAGAAGATGGCATCGCTATCAGATTTTAAATAAAATTCCAATCCAAACAGAGTTTCAGCTCTGGTTTTGAAGTCTAAACCTCTTTATCCTAAGATCCTAAGTCGAGTTATCTTGCCATTGTGGATGTAACTCATGCACGTATATGGTCTCAATTCTGTAGCGGTTAGAGGACATGTTTTTTCAAATTCCCCCTTAGAATATTATTTTATAGTACTAAAAAATGAATTTAAGAACAGACAAGTTTTAAATGCGAAAAAATGAGAGTGATAATGCGAGACATTTGAGAGTGCGTACCTGTGCACATTGCGTCAAAGTGGACCGGAAGCCGGCGGTGGTACCTGAAGTGTCGAAAGCAGATAGGACAAGCTAGTAGCATAGTTTTGCGGCAAAAGCAGGAAGTAGAAATGGTAATTTGCTCGCGTTAAGTTGACTTTCTGTTTACGTTGAAGGGCTTCAATCCCTCACTGGGTTTCGTGCTCTTAATAAGGCGCACTCAAATAGGCAGATTTAGCTATCATAGATTTCATGGATAAATAGCTAGTTAACTTTACCAAGGTGTCTAATTGCCAGTGCCTTACAAGGTGTAGTCACC